ATAAAAATAAACATAACTAGGGCGAAATAATATTCAAAACTATTCTATTATTAAAAATCGAACTTAACAAAAATAATTATGTACACTGATCATTAACATTAAGCATGTACAAGTTTATATTGTATACCCCTGAAATGATAGATTACATTTACAATTTATTCATTAACTGTACATATGTAGTAACCCCTAGGAGCCTTTATATTTTAAAATAAAATTTAAAAAATGTAACATAAACATACAAAGGAACATTAATCTTTAGTCTTACTGTGGTTTTCATACTATCGAGAATCTAAAAGCAATGTGTTGGCTGAATTTGTGATTGATAAAGAAAAGATAAATTAATTAAAAAAGGTACAAAGAACTATTCTTATTAAAATTTTTACCTCAATAATAATCCTGTAAGAGATTTCACAATACCTTTAAGTTAAATACCAAAGAGTTTCTAAGGAGTTCTGGAGTCAGACAGCGATGTAGATTGCACGAATTAGAAAATGTGAAACTCTAAACTAAAGACAGGATAGAATAGTTAATTGAATCACTTGGATGTTATATTTTAATCATGGTTTGCACTGGTGTGTAATCAAAAAATATTATGTGGGACACAGTCGGTATATTTTGATATTTTGGCATGGTGCCTTTGTACGCCTCAGTATTGCTAGGAGCAAATTACTGTAACTGTTCCACGGTAGATATACAATGAGTGCAAGACATACAATACAAAAGGAAAATGTATAATGGTAAAGAAAAAGACAGGAGGTATCGTGTATTTGATGATGAGAATAGAACCCTTGAAACTGTATAAAAAACAATAACTGACATATGATAATTAATTATAAGGAAGTTATTTATGATGTAGGTGTTAGTGATGTAGGTCATCAATGATCTAGAAATTGTAAGTTGATGGAATGCATTGAATGATGAGAAGTTTAATATATTTTTTTTCCAGATGAATTACTTTTTATTGTTAAATAAGCTGTATATTTTTTTAAAGTAAACATATTCAGGTATTAAATCTAGAGGTAAACCTGAAGTTACATTAAAACCTTTTCTTCCAACCAACCCATTTCTTGCAATAATCAATCCATTATAAATATTCCTTAACATGATAATAATGAAATGAAAAACTAAAGTCAAAAAACACTCTAGGGGTTACTGCATACGATTGTTTAGAATTACATAAATACATTTGACTTACTGTTATTTGGATCATAAAAATTTAGGATAAACAATTAGCTGTAAATTCACAAACAAGCAACAAGTAAGCTAAAAAAACAAAACAGATATTCACAGCAAAAAGCTTTAGTAGAAAAAATATAGAAAAAAGAAAACAAATAGAATTTAAACACTTGTCATAATGTTTGCAACTGAAGTTTTCTAAATGTTATAACTGACAGATATTAGTGAATGCCTAAATAAGTCTTAATAAATCATAAAAATAAAAACGGATCACCTGCTCTGTATAAGGTCAATATTGATGTTTTAATTGATTAAAATTGAATCTTTTCTAATCCTTGGAAGTATATTTATGTACCTATGTCTATTATGAAAATCATTGATTCTAAAAAAATTCTAATTATAACTGTCAGAGATACAACTAAATGGAATTTTTGATTTTAAAATCCCTTCTGTAACTTTTTTAAATGTTTGATTACTTTAACAGACGTACTTGAATTTGACAAGTTTTTTGTTATAAAAAAAAATATACATTAAACCTACTTTTTACACTGGGATTTATTAAATAAGAAATACTTAAATCATATATCACAACTTCAAAAAATTCAATTAACCATTTGGACATATATGTGCTATAGTCCCCACAATTTTTAGGAAACTTAAGTGCTTCTTCATATTTTGCCCCTACAGCTTATGCGAAATTTAAGAATTTTTACTTATAAAATTCTTATATAAGATTGATATAAAAGAAAAATATAATGAAGTCATAATTTATATGCAGTCGGTGAAAAAAAAAAAGAACAAAATTTTATTAACACTCAATGATTATTCTATTTTCAGTTAAATGTCCATAAAATGACTAAAACCTTTTAATGAAAGAAAATAAACATAATTGACACAAGAGCTACTAAGTAAGAAAATTTTTGTAAAATGGACGAAGCTGTTGATGTCGAGGAAGACTGGACACCAGGGTAGATTGCTGGCTGCATCCCATCTATAAGTGTCAAGATGAAAATTCAATTTACAAAAAACAAAACAAAACAAAAACATGTTTCTAGGTTATCTCAAATTTCATCCCGAACCATTCACATTTCAAAAGTGTAGATATCGATTAAGAATTAACAAGAATGTAAGAAGAAAAATGTAGTATTTTATATTTGTGTAATACATTATTTGGTCGTACTATTTTTTCTGGTTTATGAACAGAATATTATAGTATCTAAATTATCTGAAATAAAAAAGAAAATAGATCAACTGAATTTTAATAGCATGGAGAGCTTTTGTGCACTGAAACCATTAAGCGAAAATTGTCTTGTGCCTACTAAGCTAAAACTAAACATTAATTTGGTGCTGTTTTAGTAATTTGCCTTCCCATTTGACCACACCATGTTAGGCTAAGCTTGAATTGAAGTTCTTTGATGAATCAATGACTTAAATAATAATTAATTATAAAAAATTGGAACATATTCAAAATCCTGAAAAAAAATTGTCAATTTCCAAAAGCTTTTTAAAAACATAAATTTATAACATATGTAATGGTCAATGAGCTGATGGCCAAGAAATGGTCAAAACTAAAAAAATTGAAACCAACAATTTTTCGATAAATTTTATTTTGACAAAATTCATCCAACATTTTTTACAGAACACAAGAAGAACACAATTATATAAATAAATTTCAGCAATAACTTTTAGATTAGGTGTTGTTGAGATTGAAAAGTAATAAATTTTTCTCAAATAAAGACATAAAGACAATTTATGGTGAAACAGTACACTGAATGCAGAAAAAAAAAAAGAATTTCTGTTTTTTCCTTTTTTTGGTTGGGAAGTTTAAATCATCTATTAAAAGGTTGAAAATGAAAAACTTATTTCATATCACATCTTGCTGATATTTCGGGATTTTATCCCATCCTCATAGCCATTTTTTTTTTTTTTTTTCATTTAAATTCAACTTCTAGACAAGTGTGCTCCATTTGTAAAGAAATTGAATTTCAATGAAAAAAAAAAAGCTATGAGGAGGGGATAAACTCACGAAATATCAGCAAGATGTGATATGAAATATAACATTAACAAATTATAATGAAAGTTTTTCACTCCCAGCCTTTTAATAAAAATAAAAGAGATTATATTACATAGGTTTCTAATTTTCTATTAAAGTACCAAAATAATAATTTAAGTCATAAAAATGCACTATGCATTTTGTTTCACAGTAGCATTAAAAATAATAAAATGTTAGTTAAATTTTATGTGATTTGATAAATACAATATAATTTTAATAATAAAATAATTGTTCAAAACATATGCACTTAAATGATTTTATAAAATATTGTATCATTAAAAAGAAAATTGTATTTTATGTGCATGAACACATTAAATGAACACTTACATCATTAAATTTGGGAATTTAGATATTAGAAAACTGATATCTACTTAATTAAAGAAAACTTTATACTTTTAGTTTTGTAAAAACATAAACATGTTAGTAAATAATAATTTAAGTTTTAATTGTTGTTTGAAATTTAAATTGGTTGTTTAAGTGTTTTAATATAAAAAGGAAGTTGAAATATTATTGTCATTACTGTTTATTACAGTTTGGAACATAAAAATTATTTCCAAAAATATAGCTCCATAAATAAATTTATAATTAAAACCTGAAATCTTGTTTGCTATATAATCAATAATAAATAGATCATATGTTTCATTTTATTTCAAATTATATTAATGATTTTACAATGTCATTTCATATACTAGTTCCCCTATTATTGAAATTGTTTTTAATGAAACCTGTAGCAAGCTTAGGAGCACCATTCTTCCTGTTTTATTTCCTAATTTTATTAATGAAACGGATTGTGAGAGATGAACATTATGAAGATGACCCAATTTCAAAAAGCTCCACAAAGAATACCATCTAGTTGCAGGGGTACATTACTTCAGTTTAAGATTTGGAATAAAGTATTCTTAAATGATTTTTAATTTTTTTTTTTTACAAATTAATATAACTTTTTTTTTTGTGAAAACTTCTTTAGACCTGTTATATACTTTTTTGTGGAGAGTGAATTAGATTGATCCGTCAGATTTCGTTTGTCATTAACGCTCGGGTGTAGTAAACTAATTCAAACATTTTTACATTTGGATTAAAATAACTCAGAAACTATAAATTGGGCCTGCATACTGTAAGCGAGGAAATTGTTAAGCATTTTATCCTCTCTGTAATAGGCTATAATTCAAAATTTTATCCTAATGCGACACCATATTAGGGAGGTGAAAAGAGAAAAGTAGTGTTGAACAGTAAGTAGTTGAACATATGAATTAAAATATTTCAGATACTAAAAATCGGGTTTGTATACTGTAAGTAAAGGAAATGTTCAGCATTTCATCTTCTTTGTAATGAGATATTATTTATAATTTACAATTCATATTATTAATCTCGCCTTGTTGATATTTTCACTTATATCATGTGGTCTTAAGTTAACCTTAGTTTTTTTTTGTTAATTGGGATTTATCGTCCTCATGTACTCATACTGGGCTAGATGGATGGGTTATCCTATTCGTACAAATCTCTTCCATTCAGAATGAGGCTAAAATTTATTCTGAGCATCCATAAAAGAAATAGAAAATCTAACCACTGGAATATCATAAAAATATCTCTAACAAAACAACTCCTCTATTATTATATACAAATGATGCAATATAAAATGTTTTTCTAAGATTGTTTATAAAGGACAGATTTATCAAGAGAACAAACAGCTACAACATAGCTCAAAGATCTAGATATAATTATTATTTATTAGCCAAGGCATAATTAAAGTTGAGATTGTAAGAAGACTTACCTCGGATTGTTCTGAGATAAATCTCTCCCGGAATGCTGTAGCCAATAGCATTATGGGCTCGAAGTTCGATTTTGTAGAATGTGTCTGGTTGAAGATCTATGATAGTATATGATGTCAGTTCGGTACTCTTCAAATCTTGCTCTTTGCAATCAGAATCTACATTGACCCAGGCGTTGTTTTCTCTTGTTACCTGAAAATATTACATTTTCCAAGATTATCAATTAAAATTAATTCATTTATTATAAGCGATTGGCTATACATCTTTAGAAAAAATCAGTGTCCAAGGCCTGGAAGAAAACAAGAATTAGAGAATATTTAATCATTTATAAGGAATGGAATCAATAAATTTTAATAATTTAGTTGATTATTTTAGAAGTATAATGGAAATATGAAGTATGATTAATGCTAACCTGTAATATAATGAAAAATAAAATATTTGAGTTTGAAAGTCAGGTTGGACTTTGAAAATACATAAAAAGAAAATAATTTTAATATTAAAACACGTTAGTTGATGATAATTACTATTTAGCTTTTAATAAATATTTTTTATATACATATTGAGGTTTAAATATAAACGTTTTCTCATTTCTATTCCAGAACTATTTATCTGAAATTTTATTAAACAATACTATCAAATTAAAAAAGAAAACAAGTCATGAAAAAAGTATAACAATTTATAATTCAAATTTTATAATCTTCTTAGAATTCATGGGGATTTTGAAAATTATGTGTTTTATTACATAAAATAGATTATTCAAAAACAAGGTATCAGATTAATATGCTGTTGTTTAAAACTAAATAAACTTTTTTTATTGGAGCTTAACAAAGGAAAAATGGAATTTATTAAAAAAATTTTATCATCCCCATTTAGGAGGTATCCAAGGGATCCACTCTGTTCACCCTACCCCATTTTGTTACACCTCATCATATTTGAACATCATGGTAAAAAGAATTCTTAATTTTATAGTAAAAGCCCGAGAAGTAGTAACAGCTAGTTTAAAAAAAACAAAAACAGATCTGTAATCATAACTACTATTATAACTTATGAGGGGCGAGACAAAGAAACTTATATTATTTAATATTTTATATTAAAATGCATTAGAAATTTATTAGATATATGGCCTACTTAAAAACATATTCTAACACTTTTTACTAAACAGATATAAGTAGTTTTTGGTTTATTATTTTTAATAATGAACCATTATAATCGTCCAAAAAATTCAAAAACTTAACATCCCTTCAAAATTTTAGGTTGTAAGTTTCAGGATATGTAGAACTCTAAAGTCAAATTAAAAAATTTTCGTTCATCCACTATCCATGCATTTTCTCCTCAATTACTGGACCGATTTTTTTTCGAATTTGGAATCAAAGTCAGAGGTACCCTGAGGATGATCCTCTTACCTTGACATTACTAGCTGCCTTTTCCTTTCAAGATGGTTGTTGAAAAACCTTTGTTGCTATGGACTGTAGCGCCTAAAGGACTGTACCAATTTCAATGAAACTTGGATAAAGTTTTATCTTTCAGAACCCTTAAAATTTATCTATATTAGCTATATATATATATATATAACTATATATTTAACATAATTAAATGAAAAGAAGATGGAAAAGAAGTTACGAGGGGTCATAAAATCAGATTTCCGAATAACTCATAAAGTATACACTTTTTTGTGGATGTTGTATTAGTCATTGAAAAGTTTAAGAAATTTCCTAAAATATAAAACAAAAATATAGTAGAAATCAGCAATGTGGTACAAAGATATAGTTTTTTAAATATTTTTCAAATGTTCTACTGCAAAGCTTATTGCCTTTGTTTTGGTTATATCCTGAAAATGTGACATCAACTGAAGCAATATGTTTTATTATTCTTAGAAAATTACTAATGATGAAATAAAAAAATATTTAGTGCAGTATTAGGAATCACCTTTTATTTATTTTTTCCTTGTGTTAAAAGGAATGTAATGTTACTTTTGATATATAATTGTTTGGAAATAATAAACCATTGTGTAACAATTTGTATTTTTTCTTCATATTTAAGGATTGTTTACTGCATACATTATATTTTAAAAATTTCCTATTCATGAGAATCCAGGTAGAAATCTTATAAAAGGCTAGAGAGATTAATATAGAATATTACTATAAGTAAATAAAATGCATACCACACAAGATTTAATCTGGTATTCATCAATATATTCGCCATTGTCAGCAGGTTTTTTCCACCTAAGGTCAAATTTGTTCGGGAAATTAGAAGTGATGAATTCTTCGGTGGGAGGCAAGTCGTTCAAAATGATAGGCTCTTCTGGGGAAGATCTTTTAGGCATTGTGCGCTGAATATCGGCACCCCAAGGCCCTAAACCAACTTCATTCTGGGCAGCGAATCTGAGCGAGTATGTATCTTGTGGCTTCAAATTTTCCAATATGTAAGAATTACCTGAGAATAAGGTACACATTTTTTTCCTTGAATAAATCTATTTAAAATATCCTTTAAAAAAGAATTTTTCAAAATAAATTAATTAAAAAATCTGTTTTTCTAATTATCAAACAAAATATTTAGCTGATAAGTTGATATAAATAAATCAGACAATTAAATTTACTTATAGATCTCTTGAATTTTAATTAACAAATCCTTATTTTATAATCATAATGTCATGAATAATCCAGAACTTATTTAGTTCAGTCCTCTATAATATGATCTATTAAGTTTAGATGAATCATCTTAGAATAAGAATATTAGTTATTATTAATATTAGAACATTAGTTAATTTTATTTAAAATTAAAAATTAAAACTTATTAGTTTTATTCTTGTTATAGTTCTGCTAACTATAACTCACCTACTGCCCAAGTTTTAACTTTTGCTTCATTCCATCCAACAGATCCATTTTTATATTGGACAACATAAGCAGAAATTGGTCTTCCTCCGGTACTGCTTGGCCTTGTGAAACTGAATGTAATTGTTGTAGCTAAAAAATAATAATGATAATAGTAAAAAAAAGATTGTCAATTATCTCTATATATTATAATCACTTATAAATATTTAAATTTTAATCTTACTCACCAGTGATAACTTCGATTTTGGCACCGATTACTGCCGTTGGTACACTGGCTTCCCGAAGCATAATCTCATGGACTTTTTCACCATGAATGTTCTTCGCTAAACATTTGTAGGCACCATAAAAAGCTCTATCTGTCGGTGTCACCTGTAGGTGTTGAAGTAAAAAATATAAAATGAGCAGAGATCCATATTTTTAATTGATTGATGAAATTAAATGAAAAAAATACATAACGGAAACATGATAATTTTATGTTATTTAAAATATTGGAAATTTTCACTATTGGTTCACATTTTAGATAATAGAGTAGTGGGTCCAATTAAAAATAAATTTAAACTCGCCCAGGCCAGATTTGAAGCTGTCCTGCTAAAATTGAGGATAGTAAGTGGTCAATACTTTAACATGCTCGGCCATCACAAACTCTTCCTTCTTTATCTGCCTGTGATGAGCTTTACACCCAACTATTGGCAATCCGATTAAAATGAAATTTTCATGGATAGTGTAGATAGATACCAAGCTGCATTCTATATTAATTTAATCTAATTCAATTGATTACTCTCCATTATACACGTGCAAACATACTTTCTTTGACATACTTCGTAAATAAAAGTGGGACTAACCTACATATGATTCAATATTAATTTCATTAATTTTCCTAGTACAATTCAAATTAATATTTTGTTGCTCAGATTCATAGATGGTTTTGTTCAATACATTTTCTTATAGGAGCTTCCATTACATGATGTCATTAAATTACCATCTGTTCAGGCTGCAGCTAAACCTTCAACACCCTTTGGTGATATTTTGTTACATATTCATATTTTTATCATTTCGTTTTCTTAACCTTTTAACATTGTTATTTATTAGTATTATATGTATTGCATGACGTATATGAATTGATTTTTGAGTCTCATATTTGTTCATTTGTTTTCCTATATTCTTGTTCATGAATTAGGCATTTTTAAAGTATTTAGTACGGTGATTCTTGACACTAGAGTCATCTATAAAATGAGTATTGACATAGTAGCTTTTTTAAAAATACATTAACATTATGTAGAAATCAATTCAATGCCTGCTGTAACATTTTTCACTTAATATTTCCAGAATTTTTCCAGAATCCCATCATCTGTAGTAGCAATAATTTTTGTTTCCTTTTGATTTCGGAAAAGAATTATTTCAAAACAGTACGATGAAGAACAAAATTAGTAATAATGTAACTATATTATTCTGATAAAAAACCTTAATTAAGTATGAAATAAATATGCAAGACTCTCACAAGCAAGTTGCTGATAGGCCCGTTGCCAATCTTGAGAAAGCTGCTATCCTTTTCGATAGGCCTGTTGTTCAAGAACCAGGTGATAGTGGCATTCGGGATCGACTCAGCGATGCAGGTGAGATTCACAGGCCTTCTGTCCCAAGACCAAGCTTCCTTCATTGGTGTGACTTCAAAAGAAGGAGCAAACTCAACGGTCAAATGTGCATTCTTGATATCTTCACCACCCTGAAATGATTTTTAAAATTAGTAAAAAATTTGAATTTGAGAAAATACACTTTTAGAAGCATTGTATGTATCAGAAAAGTATTAAAGGGTTGATATATAACTTTTATTATAATTTATTTTTCCAAAACCATTAATACTGCCTTAAGACATTCTTAAATGTATTTTATCTATATATTTTAAATAAAACTCATCCATTGATAGTGACAGTACTTCCATAATTGTTATTTTATTTGTATTGTCAGAAAAATAGGAAACAAATAATTTACTCCATATGTAATTCACTAAAAATTTATTCAATGACTAAGGTAGAATTATCAATAAATGAGTTTTCTTAAAACACTTTATTTGTAACTATTAGGTAAACATTTTACTATAACAATAACATGGTACCGAAAGTTGTCAGTATGGTGAGAAAATCAAAAATATATTGGAAACATTATGGTAAAAGAAAATTTCATATTAAACAGGGTTATTGAGTTTATATTATGAATTAAAATTTATTAAACTAATAAAAAATTAAATTAAAATAGTAAAATTGAAATTTTAAGTTGGAGTTTTCAAATTTTTAACATCATAGAACTTTTATAAAAGTTTCATCCAATCATTGTTTCATTTTATTTCCAAGGAAACTTGTTTATGTCCAATTGATACTATAAGACTATGTTTAATGTCTACACTGTGACAATATGATAATAAACTACAAACAAATAAGATGATCTTAAAATGAAAAAATACATTCATCAATGTAAAAATAAATACTCATTCATCATAATAAAAATAATGTTAATGATAGTATACCTTGTTTGATGCAATACAAGCATAGAGTCCGTCATCAGTCCTTTCCAATGACGAGATGGTCAGAACACCAGCCTTGTGTCCTTTTTCTCTCTCTTGCAGTTGAACAGATATCCTTTCATCGTCAGGCTGGAGGCCGATAATCATCTTTTTGGGTGAGCTGAGCTTCCTAATAGATTAAGATAGCAAGTTTATTAATCCTAGTCATCTAGGTATTTATCTTTAATGGACTACTGATAAACTGGTACATGTATTTATTTATTTACTAACTAAGTACTACATTCATAAGTACTATATATTCATAATTAACAACCTAACATATAGAGTAGTTGAGAGATAATAATATAAAAATGTTATAAAAGGTGCCTAATATTTTAAGAAGCTTACATAATTCATGAAAAATTTTAACACTAAAACATAAATTTAGAGATGGATCTTTTGTTAACTGTTTTTAAAGTTATCTAGGACGATTATCAGGTTTTCCAGTTTAAATTTATTTATTCTGGTTGCTAATAATTCAATCTAAGCTTGTAGGTCATCATCAGGGCTGAAGATTAAAATTTACAACAGAAATAAAAGTTATATAAAATTACGCAAATAAACCTAGAGAAAAAATAAAATGTAATATGCTACATAACATAATGGTAATGTGCTATTATAATGATATCTATGTCTCTGGCTATAAAGAGTGAAGTAGTAAAATGGTCCTCACGGTTTCTCAGAATAAATAAATTTAGATTTAAAATCCTGATTATCTATCATCATAGATTAAAGATAAGTAAATTATCCTATATTTCAAATTATAACTTCAACAATCAAATGTAAGCTTGTCAAGAAAAACTATCAATATCTTATCTCTGAAAGCATTATTGTAACTGTAATTACTTAAAATAAAATAAATAAAGTTAGTCCTCCAAAATTAAAACCTGAATCCCATTACTGTACTAGTATACTACACATTTTATTGCAACAGAAAAAAGTATGACAAGTAAAAAAATTATGAAATAATCCATAGCAGTGAATGTGTTAATTATGTATTTATTAAATAATAATAATTCAGTCACTGTTTTTACTGAATATAATAACTTATCAAATTAAAGATAATTCTGAACTGAGGTTGCTATCTATATCTATTCATTCAATTAAAATTATAATTTACAGGTCTGTTTAAAATTATAATAACAAAATCTTTTGAGCTATAGAGTTATTGTACATCTATTTCCAGAAAATGAAACATTTAAAATTTATGGTTATAATTAAAAAAAAAAACCTGAATATAATAAATGAGATATAAAACGTACCTGAAGGAGATGACAGGAGGAGGATTGCCACTCGCTCTACATTCGATGATAGCCTCTTTGCCAGTGCTCAACGACATGTTGTTTAATTCGACGATTTGAGGCTTGACAATGACAGTCAGGTGCACATTTTGTTCAACATTTCCTGCACCATTGTTAGCGATACATTTGAAATCGCCATTGTCCTCCCTCGACACCTTTAAGATGGACAGTTGACCTGTAATTTCGTTGACTGCGAATCTGTCAGAGTAGGTGCCCAGGTTCTTGCCAGTTGAAGCTTTGATCCAAGTGTAAGTTGGAGGAGGTTTACCATCTGCCTGGCATGTCATTGAAGTTGCCTCACCTTCTACTGCCTCCAGTTCAGTCACCATTTCGCCTATCATTTTCGGTGGGGTGTGAACCTACAAGTTTTTCTGCAGTTAGGAAAATATGCTAATAATATGAAAATATAATTCAGTTAGATTACAAATGAAGGAAATTGTGGAGATGAGACACAAACATTCAAAATTGAAAGAGGTCTTAGATAAGGAGATTCACTATCTATGGTACTTTTTAAACTGGTATAGGAAGTAGCCATAATGAAACTAAAAGCGAATAGCAGAGGTACAATTTACAATCACATGACACAGCATTTAGCATGTGTAGATTATGTTCTCATGACAGCACAAACTGTAATAGCACTTTCAAGCACTCTTGAAGAATTTCTCAGAGAAGCTGGAGAACTAGGTCTAGAAATTAATACAGACAAGAGCATGCCCTATGCTATTAATACCCGTATAGCTGCAGAAAATCAATGTCTGCACAGTGCACAGAAGCTGCTCAGTTGCAAAAATATGTCAAGATAGACAAATCTGTATTATATAAAACAATTCTAAGGCCTGTTGTGACATATGGAAGTGTGACATGGTCCGTGACTAGAGAAAGCAAAAGGATGCTCCGTGTAAGGGAAAAGTACTAGAGAAAAATTACATACCAATCAAACTGGAGGTTCAATAGAGAATTGGGTCTAACCTAGAGCTAAAAGAGCTATATGGTGAATATGACATTGTTAGAGTCATTCAACTTAACAGATTGCGGTTGTTGGGATATGTGGAAAAGATGGACTCTACAAGAATACTGAGAAAACTTCTCTATGGAAAGCCGGGAGACGGAAGAAGGCGTGGAAAGCCTCGGCTCAGATGGCTGGACAAAGTAGAAGATAATCTGAAGGAGATGGGTGTGAAGTGGTGCAGGCGCTTCGCTGCTGGCAGAGATATGCCGAAGAAGACGTTAGCAGATACCATGGTTCTCAAGGACTGTAGAACCCAGCAATAAAAGGACAAATGAGGCAGAAAAAAATAAGTTGGGAAAAGAAAACTACCCCTTATAACCATGACATTATTTAAATGAATAATATTTTTAAATAAAAATTAATTCATTATTCGTTTATTATTTAACATAGATTTAGAATGATGTCTAGCACTAATTTTAGGAAGCTTGTTTTTAAATAAAAAATGAATAACAAATAAATTATCTCCCTAAGCCTTCTTTACTCTACCTTTTAAGGATGCCCAAATTTTTTATATTGAGACATACTACAACTGTACTTCTTTCCCCATACCCTGCCATCATTACAATAATATCTATACAGCATAGGAGGTAGTTTTTACAAATATTTCCTTCTTTTTAAAATTTTAAGAATGTATCTATACAACAAAACAGTTAATAACTGTAATTAAAACAATGGAATATATGTACTGGGATGATAACTTTTTTATTGATGGCAAACATTCAGAATTTAAAATACTCTATCACATTTCAAAATGGAATTTGAATTTTTCATTTTTTTTTTTTAAATTACGGGTATTAATTTTAAAATCTACTTGCCGACTATGGTAAGAAAAAACTGTCTAATTTTATTACCAATGATTTTCTCATAATGTATAGTATATTTCAACCTTAAAATGTCTTGAAAACCTATATTTAAAGTATGCATGGTTACCATTTGATTAGGGGTGAAAAAACTAGTTGGAAACCTCATTATTCATTTTCATCTAAAATTGAGTTAAACCATGTTAGAGCTTAAAAATAAATACTTTTCAGAACAAAAAAATAAGATACCTCTGTTGCTCTGAAACATTCTTTTTAATAAAAAAAAAAATTGTATTTTTTGATGAAAACAATAATATTTCAAGCTTTTCTAATAATAAACATCAAATTTGAGTAGAAAATCTAATTCCAACACAATTAAAATCAACTAATTCAAGCAAATTATTGCATTTATTACACAAGTTAACAAAATGAAATACTTTGTATTTATCCAAGAAACTTGTGATATAATCATAATCATCACCTCCACTTTGATTTCCCTCCTCTGCAGATCTCCTGTGTCCATCACGAATGCTCTGCAAGTGTAAGTTCCGTCATCGGTGACTTGGACATTCCTGATGAGAAGTCCATCGGTTTCCATTACAAATCTATCATCCTTGGGCACCTTGAAAATATCAGAATATTTCTGTGATAAGAAGTAATCAAAATAATAATAAAAAATAACAACAAATAAAATTTCTTTCTGTATTACCTGTCTACCATTGATCTGCCAATCAACGTGCGGTGCTGGCCGAGCTGTGACCTTACACTTGACTTTGTAATCCTCACCAAGGAGGGGATATTGTTCCTCAGGTGCATCCTCCCACGTTACAGGAACTGTAAAATATTTTTAAAATTTTGAAAATTTTATTCACAGAAAAAAGGAATAAGTTTATACATAAACTAAAATCATATAATGTTATCAGATTACAAACTTCTTCTTTTATGGTAATCAAACTCTTGGAGAGTCAAGGCCTCTGGCAATTTTGTTTGCTAATAATTTCTGCCAGTTGCAGTTAACAACAATCAAGATAGATCTAGCACCACTGGACACATCGTCACAACCTAGAACTTTCCACGTTTCTGATGGCATAGATTTTTCTTCCAATATCCTCTGAGGTATCTGATCTGATATCATCTTTTTAATGAGGCCAGCCCACTGAACTCTGACCTTGATTACTCTTACAATGTCAGTGGTCTAACACAGTTCATCTACTGTGCATTGTTTTCTATCCATCCCTACTCCATTAATATGCAAGAGACCAAACATTTTCCTCAATATAAAGCATTCAAAATCAAAGGGAAGAACTTGTGGTTTTGTTAAGGTCTGACATTCTGATCAATAGGTTGGGGTCATTGATAGATAGATTAGTTAAGCTCTACATTTTTAAATGATGGCCAAAATAGCATCTATAGCCAGTTGACAGTCTTCTGAGAATTTTCAGCTTTACATTCTTACAAGAGTTCACCTGAGAGACTAGGAAAATGAACTCATTAACCCTCCGAAAGATATTGTTCTCTATATGAAAGTGGTCTTAGATATCCACATATGGTCCTGCAAGCATGTATTATATTTTGTTTTTTTCATTTGCATAAAATCAACTTTAGCTCTATACCTTTGAAGTGCAAGAAATATCTTGCTTATAACCTATACGTTCTCGAAGGGGATTTAATTTTTTTCTGCACAAATCATTCATCTATTTAATTATTTTTCTATTCTCTCTTCTAGATATTCTGAAGGTTTGATGCCGATACTACTAATAACTTTTTACATACTTCCATCTACCGACCAGCTTCCGGAAATCCTATCCTGCCGTATCAGCCTTTAACAATCCTCCCATCTTCACTTTGGTCTATCCCTCTGATACTTGCCAGTCGGCACTGCACATTTAAACCTTCAGGGATTCTTTTTTTATTAAGTCAAAAAAATTTATATGCCCATTTTATTCACTACAATGTAATCATCTTACTTATATTCACCAGATACAGTTCAGAATTTAGAATCCGTTTTAAGTCCCTGGTTAACTTTTCCTTCTTCGATCTCATACCATACCCTCTGCATTGCCACGACTAGAAGAAAGAAACAAGATGGATGGTATGAAGATAGAAGAAGTGGCAAGGAGGCAGGTAAGACCTAGATTAAAGTTCAGAGTTTGAACTTGAAAAAATACAGCCGGCACTTTATATACAGCTTAAAAGTTCTTGAAAAATCACTTCACACAATTTTTGATATTTATATACCCAGGAGAATCTACAAGTTCTAAATCAATAATTTAGTTCAACTAAATTCAACTTTCAAGTTTTTCAGGGTTGAAGAAAAAAAAAAAGAAAACTGATCAAAAATATGCCTTACCAAATGTGCACTTTTCAATGTAGTTTGGAATCATGCAGTGGAAAATGAATGTTGAACACATCTCTTCTTGGTTTAAATATTTATTTAGAAACAGAACTTCATTATGAAGGACTGAATCAAGGCTATTTTTTCTTTTGATTTGACTTTATTTCAGTAAAGTAAATTTAAAATCAGCAGCATAATTGTTGAAATTAATATCAGGAGAAGTAGTGATTTTTTTTGTTGATAAAAAATGATGTAATTGTATGCAATAGTTAACAACAGAGACAAACTAAAATTTATAAATTTACATTAAAAAGATTCTTATCATTATTAACTTCTTTTTAACAACGATCTAGTTATAGTTAATAGCGTATTTTCAAATTTTAAGATTCAAATTAATTCAAAATGTTTTAAACTAATTTAGGCCCTGCACTAGAAATGCACTCACTAAAACATTCCACAATTTTTCAAGAGGTACGTAATTAAATAAATTGTAAAAATTACAATACCTATAATAGCACATTAAACATTAAAAATAAATAAATATAGTAGTAAAGAAATAAAAGTATATACCATATGTTTTAAGAATAACGCTCTTTCTAAGCTGCTCTGTGGCCTGATACGTGGCAATACAAGTGAAGTTGCCTTGATCATTCTCCCTCAGGTTGTTGATAACCAAAGCAAGTTTCTGAGGACCTATCACATTTACCTGGAACCTATCACGGGTGTACCTGCAAAGTAATTATTTAAAAAATAATGTATAGTATGACTACGTTTAAGATGCTTATTTTATTTAATTTAAGTTTTTCTTTCTGTTTATTATTTTATTTGATCTTTCGTTTTTATTACTATTTATTATATTGATATTAATTTATATTGTCTGAAAATATGATATGAATGTGATATTTTATCACTGTTATCATTGTTCTTAATTGAGAAAGAATGTATTTAAATTAAACAGTTGAAAAATAGATTAAAGTTTACAAAATATTAATTTTACCCAAATTAAAATATAAGATTTCAAAGTATTTAATAGATATTTGTCGTTATGTAGCTATAGATTGTTTATCATTACATACTATGCATAATATCTGTACCATAAAGTATTATTTTTATTTTATTTTTCTCTTCAGATCTAAATCTGCACCAGTCATTAAGTTGGATAACAATATCACAAATATCACCAGATAAGTTGTTGTGGAATTGGAAAATCGCGTGTTAGGCATGAGGAAGAATAGTACCCATCAGCACCTCTTCCTTGTCAATATTTTAATTTTTCAGTCAGTAAAGAAGATCCCTCATCCAGCTCCTTTTTAGTTGCCTACTGATCGGCATGTCATTTTTAAGTTTATTGTTACATCTGTGTAGTTTGATATTATTATGTATATAAGATTACTAGGTTTTGGTCAATAGTTGGTTGTTATAAGTCAGTACGTAAAGTTTTGTAGTTTACGTACAAGGGAGGAGTTGCTGTTATTATACTTAAAATTTTGGATTGAAATTATTGTAGTTTTTGTAAGCGCATCCTTTTTGCTGAACTGAAAATCTGTGAGCCATATGTCCATTTGATTAGAGATGTGCATCTATTTAGTTTTTGTCTGATTCTCAGGTTTCGATTTGGAAAAAGTGAGTTTAGTATTTTCAGTCACTTGTTTAAAGTTTTTCCTTTCATTTTGACATGTGGGCAATAGGTCATCCTTCTGTTGAATATTAGCCAAAGAAAATATACAGTGTCCTTTTGTATATTAATTTTTTGAAAACTTTGGAACGAATAGTATAGTTAATATAATTTATTTTTCTCTAATATGTATATGTTGTATGAATTAATATCTATAGTCATAATACTTGTTACCCTTCAATATGACAGATGTTATATATTATTATTCAATAAAATCTGTTAAAAAAAGTTAATAAAGAAAGTTGAATAACTGTAGAATAATACTTGTTGTTTTCATCGATTGGTATGTTATTCTGGTCGAGCCACTTTTGTTCTGTGATGAGCTCAGGCTGCTGCGTGTTGACTTGGCATGTGAGCAGTACATTCTTCCCGACCGCCTTCACCTGTGTCTCCTGGACTGGGAAGATCTCAAGCTGTGGTCTATGAGCACCACCTGCGACACAATTCACAAATATTTAATAAAACTACTTAGAAAACAAAGGTCCATATTTAATATTTATTTACATTATATTTAACTATTAATTTATGAAAAAAATTGACACCAACAATAACCAAAGTAATCAGCAAAATTAGTATAATTAAACATAAAAGATGACGACACTACAGACGGAATATAGCCCATGTCCTATAAGTAAAAAAAAAAAAAAAAAAGAAGAGAGAATATCAAAGAATATTTGTATTTATTTTCTGTGTATGTAATACTGTATTCGTAAAATTTGTATTATTTTATTTTGTTTGGCAATAAACATTCTATCTATCTAGTAGATATTCTTATCCTTCTTCTTTTTTGTCTTCCTCTCTTAGCGCCTTTCAGCATGGGGATGGTTCATTATGTTATTTGGATTTGGAAGACCTCTAAATGTGAATTTTATGTGAAAAACTCGAATTCGAAATTTTTTCACGATCCCTCGATGTTACTATATATTTCTTATAAGGAAAGTGAAAGTAAGAGTGGTTATAATGTTATTATTTATCGAAAGCATATTTTATCCGAAATTTACACCCGCACACACACTTGATTCACATAAACCCACCTTCTCCCGCAAACCCACATAAATAGTGTTTTAGTTGATTTTCACCAATGAACAAATGAATCTAGATTCAAGGAAAAATAATTGTAAGATGAAAACTGGCGAGAGTATTGCCGAATTTAAATTAGCTAGAGAAACGACAGTTTTAGAATCGCTAAGACAGGATCGTTTAATAGTAAGGATCGATACAGGCATTAATCGAGTTGTTGACCCAACAATTAAGTCGAGGAGCCACCGTAGATATTGTTTGCTCATCAAACAACCTGCCTGGGTTCATTGAAATTGTTTAGTTTATAAGGATAAGGTCCAGTTTCTCAGAGTTTTCTTGTTCAACACTGCTTCTCTATACCTCCGAAAAAACGCCTCAAGTCTCTCAAACATCAATAGTAACTATTTTAAATGTTTTGCCGATTTGCACATCATCAAAGCAGAAAAAGAGAGAGGATGAATACAAAACAAATATAACACAGCTCACGTCATTAGGTAGTTCAAAAAATGACTCAGTAACTTGAGTGCTATGATATCTCAATGTATACTAAAAAGAACATAAACAATTTTATATTCAAACTACTGAGCCAAAAAAAAAAAAAAAAAAAAAAATAGTTCCAGTGAACATATCAAACAACCATAAACGTCCAAAAAAAAACGATATGAATAATTAATAAAGTATAAATATTCCTTTATAAGTTGTTATGAAGTTATAATTTTCGGGCAACTTTCTTTAATACAATATTTTTTTTTATATGTACTTTTTTTTTACTTCTAAATTTATCATATTAATTATTTGTATAGCGTTTGAGTACTTTTTTAGTTTTTAAAAAATAAGGCTATAATAATTTTTTAAAAATATTTCGAAGTTATCCACCCATAACAGAAACTTGAAAAAAAAATTAATCGAGATATGCGAAAAAATATGCGATCAACATATCACTTATAATTTATTTTATATGTAATTCAATACTATAGTTGATGTTAACGCATTTATCACTACTACATTCCAATTCAGCCCATTTAATGTAGATTAAAACAGTGATTGCAGGTTTTTCAACAATTAATTCGAAAAGTAACAGGATTATATAATAATTGCTTTGTCTCTTTTGAAATATAAATGAATTGTTGAATCAACAAACAAAGGATAATAATCTAAAAGCCTTACCAAAAGTATAAAGCAACAGAGAGGTTTCCAATTAAATAAAAGTGGTGGTTGTAGCAAAAGAAATTTCTCAATCATCCTTATTATACAACCGTTAATTTACATAGCCAAAGCGAAGTAAAAGAAATTGGTGCTCATAAAAGAAAATAATAGTAGATCATGGATTGAAAACTAAAAAAAAAAAATATTATCATCAGCATTGTAAATATGTTTTACCTTTGATTAGAATAAATTAAGTAATTTCTAATAGGATTACATTTACACATTTAGGTGACCAGACAGATAAAGTGAAAAACATGAATAATATTTTAGAGAGAATAGTTATCGTACTAATAAATAGTTAATATAATATATTTCAAATATAATTTTATTATATTTCTAAAATCTGCTTTATATCAATACATGCTGTAAGAGTATAATTATGATTTGGTGTCAAAGAGAAGTAGATTTTTTTTTCTAACCAATATATTAAAAAAATATGTTTTTAACAAAAGAAAAAAAAGATTAATATATTGCTTAAATATTTAAACATACGTACTATTTACTCACGATTTCATGTTAGTCTAAAAGGACACAACAGACTTATAATCGGCATGGTCCGCGTTGACATTAGGAGGAGACTGAAGAGAAGTTGGATGAGAGATTTAAAATAAGGAGAGGTGCCGCTGGGTACAGTCCTTCCTCATGCCCGTAATGCCATTAGCATCTATAATGCCATCAATTCTGCTGATTGTCACTCTCATGACAGACACTAACGGATCCAGAATTTAATTTTGGGGGGACTTCAGCCCCAAAGATTTTTTTTTTTGCATGTATACATTACGACAATTACTTCGAAAGAAAGAAAGAAGCTAAGTACCAATATGAAGTGATGTTAAAGTGATTCTTCAAGTCCTATTAAATATAATAAGACGAACAATAATACTTTAAGACAATTTTATTTATTAAAGTATTTAAAACTAAAATTTGGTTGAGGAGTTTTGCACCGGGCGGGATGGGGTATGTTGGACCTCAAGTAGGATCGGGCAGGCGGGTTTAGCATTCCTAACGCCGTCACTGACCTCACTGGAAGAGAACCGTTGGTGTGACTTCAATGTTAATATTCATAAAATAAATATATTGTTTCTTAAGTATTGATACATATTCAGTATATTAACTTTTCCCCCATAAAAATGCGTTTCGAAATGGTGTTTTTATTATCAATTATGGATTATATAAAAAATGACGGTATTTCATATTAGGTGGACAAATTGAACATAATTATAGTGAAACGAACAAATATAGCACTGGATATTTAAAAATACATTTTCTTGTATTTGTTTATTTAGCTTCTATCCCTAAGGGTCGTTGGCTTAATGTTTATTAATGTTTAAAAAATACATTTATATATACGTTTAGACAGTTGTAAGATTTTTTTTAAAGTGCTTTTGGATATACTTGAAAATATCTGAACACTACAATTGGATATATTACAATTTGTATAAATTAAACATGAGAGAAAGGCGGGCAGCCTCCACAACATAGGTACATTTCTAGAACTTTTTCAGCTAAAAATTAATAATGTTAAAAACTGAAAAATACTTTTGATTTCTTAGTTTGTATAAGCTTCAAATAAAAATAAAATATTTTCATAGTCCGACTATGTAAAAGTGTCTATAAAAAACATTCTTTCTAAAATATACTTATACTTGTACTTATTTTGTTTTCTCTCTTCATACTTCTATCCACACCTGTCACTGTATTGACAATAAGCAGATGTGATCTAATTGTGAAGGAAATTGTCATTTAAGGCATGAGGAAGATTAGTACCCAGCAATACTTCTTCCTGGTCTTGGTCTATTTCATAATTCAGGAAAGGAGATCTCTCATCCAGCTCTTCTTTAGTCGTCTCCTGATGGGAATGTCAGCTGTGGCCATGTCGTTGATAAATCCGTTGTGATGTCCGTATAGTTTAAGATGAAATCGGGTGTACGGAGTACGTATTTGTTGGTCGATAGTTGGTTGTTGTTAGTCGGTATGTAAAGTTTTGTTGTTCACGTACCAGGGTTGTAGTTTTGTAAGTTCGTCTTTTTTGCAGAACCGTAAATTTGTGAGCCATATATCCATATGGGTTTGAGTAGGTAAGTGTACGTATTTAGTTTTTATCTGATTTTTAATTTTGATTTGGAAAAAAAGGGAGTATAGTATTTTCAGTCGTTTGTTCAAAAACTTTCGTTTCATTTTTACTTGTACTTATTAAATATATTTTTCCAAATTTATTGTAGAAAAGTTGTAAGAAAATCACGTGGAAATGAAGGTGTCAAGTGTCGCTCAAATGCGAGACCAAGACGAGTCTTGGTCTTCCGTTCTTATTCTTGGTTTTGGTCTTGGTCTTGCCCAAGAGTCTAGCAAGAGTCTTGCAGTTACCTATTAGCTTATTACTATTGAGATATTACTGTAATTTTTTAGATAGAAGAACCCTAGCTAAGTCCGAATAAAAGATTAGAAGAGTTAAATACAAAAGTATATTGGCTATACAAATTATTTACACTTAGTTACTAAAATTGTCAAGTATTAGAAACTATTTTGCCCTAATTTTTATTCGCAAAATCGATTTTTTTTACCAGTCTTAGCCTTGATCTTGCAAAGTGCAAGACCAAGACCGATTTTGGGCATCACTAGAGGTGTCCACATCAAAGTTGAATGAATAGAAAAATACATGGATATGTTTCTTATTATTCCTATTTTCTTATTATATGTTTATTATTATTCCTGAAAATGAATGTAAATTTAAATAATAGGAATATTTAGTTCGTAATAAAATAGTTAGGTACCTACTTATAGACCTTAGCTTAGCCAGCTAATCGAATTTTCTTAATCTATTTTAGTTTACATATTTAATTTATTCAGCTTATTTGTTATCACTTTTGATTTGTTTTACTTCAAATTTTTGGGGGGAGGAGAAGAAGGGGATGGAGGCGAAACAATATTCTAGCCCCCTCAACATTTTCATTTATAAATAAATTATGAATTGTAAATAATTTTTATTGGAGAGGCGATTGCAACTTTCGCATTCCCCTCTCCCGAACTCAGCGCCTATGATTGTTTCCCATTATTTAACTATTAAATTGGAAGAATAATTTCCAGTGGGTCAAATTAGTGACTTATTAAGTAAACTGTTACTTTAGCAGTTCTGGTAACGAACGAAGTATTATAAATGACGTGTGTTGAATAGATTATCTAGTTAATATTATATTGTACAAAATATAC